AGACTAAATATTCTTGTGTTCAGGGTCTTAGCCATTTAAATTTCTATGTATTATGTCCATTAGTTTGATTTTGATAGTTTTAAATGTAAAGCTATGACTTCAATCTTATATTTTTTAAATTCTTTTACTATCGTATTGGATCAATGAATATCTGTTTACCAAATTTACTTAGCTGGTATAATGATAATGTATCTTCTAGATCTTAAAGTTGTTTGACATCAATTTCAAATTATAATGACAGATATCAATTAAACTGCACAAGATGGTGCGTTGTATTCATTAGAAATAGCTTTGTATTTACATTTTATATTTATGAGGATAAATTATTGCCTTTATTAATGCATCAATGCCTTAAGTTAATTGAGTAAGATTAGTGCCTCAATTATTTTACTTATAAATAATTGTGGTCATTACTAATATAAATAAGTTATTATAAAATTGTAAATGAAATACTCATTTGAAAAGATAGAAGAGATCTACCTGAAATATAAAGTTCTTGGTAAACATACCTCTCTTAATAATCAATAAATAAATTATAATCTCATAGTTTGTAAGAAATCAAAGTAGCCTAAGGAATATATTAATAAGGTTTGCTAAAATCTATTATAATTAATTAAGACAAATAGTTTTGCAATCATTAGGTTTAGGTGTTATAAATTGAATTTTATAGAAGATCAACTTTGATTTAAAAGTTTTGAACATGGTTTCATTATAATTGATACATCTTTAATAAAATCTAATGGTCCTACAAGTCTCCAGAGTTTATAATTACTAGACTTCTTTCTAGTACAGTCTGCTCATTGTTGCAAATAAGATTAATTATTGTAAATTCACTCAAAATCAAAACTAATGCTATTGAAATGTAATTTGATCATTTGAAACATTTAAAATAGGTGATATTAATTATAACAATGACTGATTTTAACTGAAATCTTCAAAATTTTTGTTTAATTATTCCTATTGGAAATAAAGTATTTATTAAGTTCAGATTATTAAAATTTCTTAATTTAGTTTTGAATTATAATTTTATAACAGGTCATCTGAAAAACTCTTAAATGTCATAATTTTTTGAATTCATTTAAGATTATTATAATCAAGATTTATTTAAGAACTGGATCTAAATCTTTCTTCTAAGGTGTCGAAAGTCTGAAGCTTTTAGGATAAAAAGGACAGGAGAATACAATGGAGAGCCTTATGTTGCCTTTAAAAATTATGCAATCATTATAATTACAAAATCAAATCACATCAGTTTGTACATATATTGAAGATTCAAAATTATATCTAGAAATATTTTGGATAAATATGTCTATTCAAACAAATAATAATTCATAAATCTCACATTCTTTTATTTCTGGCCTATCCTATCCAAACAAATATGGATTATCACTTCCATTCTTGTATTAATCAAATTGATATGAATAACCTAAATGAGACTTACCATCAGTAAAATCACGATTTATTTAAATATCGTGCCCTTATCCAAATATAGGTCCATAATTTGAATTACAACAAATAGCAGTTTATTTTTTATCAGACTTCAAAGGATA